CTCAGAGGGCTCTGTAGCCCCAGGGGGTCTGTATTTGCATGTCCCCTACCTCACCCTAAGTAGGGTTTAGGAAGCAGTAAAAAGAAAAGGATCAAAGATCTGCAGGTTCTGCAACGTATTTCCTTCTGGTAAAACTGTTGTTAATTCTATGAGTGGTATAAGGATCAAATCTCAGTGAAAAGTCCAAATGCGTGTCAAGGGACCGTCCTTCCCGACTACTCCCTCAACCCCAGACCGGACGTAAGGGTTTTCACAGGTTTCAGAGAGTCCCTCTAGAGCATTTGCCACGCATTCACCCCCACGTGTCTATAAGAACCAAGAAGCGGTGTGTAGAAAGTTTATATAAATAAGATATTCACTGTACTTCTTGATTTCATTCCTTAACAACCTATCTTCCTATCTCAGAGATCTTTCCAGGTCAGCCCACTGTTCTTAACGACTGTGGTCTGGAGGTGCCAGTCTTTTGCTCATTTGGTCCTTTACCAAGGGACACTTAGGTTGTTTCCAGCTTTTCACCATTACAAGCCAAACACTCTTAACCTAAGCAAACAAAACACCTAACGACCTGCTTTCCACTAACTTGCATCTGCAGCGACAGACGTTCCAAAAGAACAAAACTGACAAAAATCAAAGTTAAACTCTGAAGCGTTGGTGGTATAGTGGTGAGCATAGCTGCCTTCCAAAGTTAAACTCTGAAAACCTCATATTCTAATGCCCACGGCATACAAAGTTCTGAGCCTTTCTGCAACACCGCAAAATTCAGAGGGCTCTAAAGGTCATTTGTAAGCAAACCCATCCCACAATCCAGTCTTTTCCAGCGACGCCCTGTGTTAGAAGTTTGGGACAATAGAGGTGCCATCTTGAACACCTTCAGATATGGGGAGCTGGAAACTCGGGCAAAATGCCTCAGTTTATTTCCCAAGAGTTCTGACTGCACAGGGAGGGGACAAAGTCGGGCCACACATTTGTCTACCTTGTCTCTTCCTCTCTACTCCAAGGCTGATGATGGAGTTTGACCTACTGATCTTCAGCTTTGGACAGCTGCCCTTGGCGCTGATGACGTGGGTCCCCATGTTCCTGTCCACTCTGCTGGTGCCCTACCAGGCCCTGAGGCTGTGGGCGAGGCCCCGGGCAAGAGGGGCCTGGATGCTGGGGGTGGGCCTGGGCTGCATGATGCTGGCTGTCCACACCACCGTGCTCTGGGTCCTCCCCGTCCACGTGGCGTTGAAGTATCAGCTTCCGCCTGCCTCCCGCTGTATCCTGGTCTTTGAGCAGGTAGGTGATGGGGTGATGGGCAGGCGAGGCTGGGGTAGGGCCCCTGTGGGGAAGGGGACTTGATACTACAGTATTGGTGGAGGCGGAGCTAGTTACTAGGGGCGGAGTCCATCTGGAATGATTTGAGGGCACCAGCACGAACCAAGGATATTTGCTGTTATGCAAAAGTAATCGGATTTTGCAAGGAGTCAGGGGGGTTGGCTGGTTGGAGGCTCCGCCCTGGCGTTTCCTGTACGTCTTTACTCCTGATTCATCCCAGCAGCTACCTGTGTTAGGTTAAAAGACTACCCGACAAAAAAATAAAGTATGGGCTTTGATCGTACAGATTTTGCAATCCGCCGGCCTCTCTCTTCGGTAAACAAGTGCACAGAGATGTTAAGTGATTTGCTCAAAGCCACACAGCAACTTAACCTCCCTTCCATTCCTTCTCAGGTCAGGCTCCTGATGAAGAGCTACTCCTTCTTGAGAGAGGCTGTGCCTGGAACCCTTTGTGCCAGAGGAGGTGAGGCACTGCTTTGAACTCAGTCATTTTGGCTGTTTGAATGAAGCCAGCCATACCAGGATTCTCATAAAAGCTCTGACTTCCTAAGCCTGTGTTGCTCCCAGGGCAGAATTCTGACCTCCAACTAGACTCTGTGGGCTTTAGTCATTAGGCATCCTCTGGTCCCACCTCTGAGATATGGTACCTCTGTGGCCCAGGACTTCTGGCGCTTTCCAATTTCCAGGCTTAGCCTGGAAAGACACAGAGTATGAGAGCCTCATATTAGCAAGTCAGGAGGTACCAAGATGACCGAGTGGTTAAGTGTTGGACTTAAGATCTGATGGACGTATATCCTGGCTCTGTCGGCCGAGCATGTGACTCTTGATCTCAGGGTCATGGGTTCGAGCCCCACGTTGGGTGTACAAATTACTTAAAAATAAAATCTTTTTTAAAACGTGGTGGGGGAGTCAGAGCAGAAGGAGAGAAAGAATGGGTGGTGGAGCTTATAAATGCCAAATGAAACTCTGGCCACAGCAGGTGCTGCACCAGAAAGTAGGGTGCCTAGAAAGGAAGCAAAAGAAGGGCAACCAAAGAGCAGCTTCAGCTCCTGCCTAGTCTCACCTTCCCGACTGCACCTCCAGACCCAAAGTCGGGTCCCTCCCACTCCACCCCCCCCACCGCACCTCTGCCCCATCCAGGCCTCCACCCACCAGTCCCAGCCTCCACTCCCCCTGCCCTCTCTCCTTCCCCACTTCACTGATCCAAGCCCTCTCCTTCCTCCCCAGGTGAGGGCATGCGGGCCCCCAGTTTCTCCAGCTACCTCTACTTCCTCTTCTGCCCCACACTAATCTACAGGGAGACTTACCCCAGGTAAGACCCTGCTCCTCTTTCCCAAATGCCCAGACCCATCAGGGACCTTGCTTTCTACTTTCCATTCTCTGAGGCCTTTAGCCTCAGGCACTGACCACGTTCTCAGGAAGCATCCCATAATAAAAATGGGAAATAGGTGTCAGACAGACTACGCCTTCTCCAAGCACAACCCACAAGGGTGGCCAACTGTCCTGGATTGGCCCTGGGCTGTCCCAGTGTTAGCACTGAAAATCCTGCACCCTGGGAAACCCATCGGTCTGGAGCAACCTCCTGATGGTTGCACTTTAGTTGACCTTCAAGTTAAAAATCCATTTGCCATGTCTACTGGGGAAGGTCCAAAGTGTTCTAGACCCTTACCTGCCTAGATAATCCTCCCAGGCCCGAGCAATTGAGGGAGCTTCGGAGAGAGGGCCCTAGAACCTGTGTACCAGTGGGTATGGAACAAGCTAAAAGATAAAAAGACTAAAAACATATTGTCCCCATTGCTGCTGCAGGACACCCAACGTCAGGTGGAATTACGTGGCCAAGAACTTTGCCCAGGTCAGAAGATGAGGTAGAAATGTGACTTGTGGTGACTGAGTGGGGCATTTCTGGAAGTGGGGTCCGGGAGGCCTGGGGAGGAGGTCAGAGGGTGGGGCTAAGGTAAGAGGAGGCAGGTGCTGGGCCAGAATCCGATTCCAGAGTCGAGGGGGCAGCTGCTAGTGACCCCTGTCAAAGTTATGTTCCCCCCACCCACCGCCCCCCAGGCTCTGGGCTGCGTACTCTATGCCTGCTTCATCCTGGGCCGCCTCTGCGTTCCCGTCTTTGCCAACATGAGCCGGGAGCCCTTCAGTACCCGGGCTCTGGTGCTGTCTATCATGCACGCCACCTTGCCAGGTATGCCCACCGAAGGCAGGGCTGGGGAGGGCTGCACCCTGGGAAGGCTTAGCGGGGGGCTCCTCCCTCCCCTCACTCCTTTCCTTCAGTCAGATTCAACACCTCCTGCCTCAGAAACCTCTCCCACATGTGTCCCCCGCCTCCTCATTGCTCCATTGCTAGGGTCTCAGTTCATTCAGATGGCCACTCCACTCCCTCTTTCCACATCAGCCTCCTCGCCTGCCTGCTTTCCCTCTCAATCTTCCCACCTTCCCCTGACACTGCTGCCCAGATGAACTTCCCTCCTACAGGTTAATCATTCCCTACTCTGCTTCCAAAACTCCAGTCACTCCCCATTGCTGGCATCTCCAGATAAGATTTGACCCCTTGGCCTGGCATTCAAGACCCCTTCCCCGACAGCCTAGCCTATCTTCTCGTCCTGCCACAAGCTCAGCCATTCCTTGAAAGACATGTACTTTCATGCCTCCGGGCTTTTGCTCATACTGGTGTCTCAGCTTGGGATGACCTTTCCCCATTTTCCAGCTGTGAACTCCAGTCTGTTTCTGGAGGCCCATAACAAAGATGCCCCCTCCTCTAGGAAGCCTGTCAGTTTTAGCCATCAGTCACTATGACCCACCTCTTGCTCTGCATTCCCAAGCACCTCAATAGCCACCCGTGCTTAGCTCCCAGCACATTTGACCTTGACGCATGGTTGGACTTGTCTCTGTCCCGATCTCTGCCTCTGTCTCTCTCTCTCTTTCTCTCTCTCCAACCACTCTGTGAACTGCCAATGGCCAGGGCTTTGAGATTCATCTGTGCATCCCCGACATGTGGCTTGGAGTTCATGAGCAGAGGGATGGATTAATGAATGTAAGAATTTGTGAGTGACAAATAATTGGCTGGAAGGAGTTGGGGCCCTGGTTGCTGATGAGGATCCCTCAGGGCTTCCCAAGGGAGCCAGGTGGGCAGTCTGACATGCAGCCCTTGTCCCCACTCACCAGGCATCTTCATGCTGCTGCTCATCTTCTTTGCCTTCCTCCACTGCTGGCTCAACGCCTTCGCAGAGATGCTACGGTTTGGAGACAGAATGTTCTATCGGGTGGGGCCTGGACCTGGCCACTTGGGAGCTGGGTGCAGGGAGGTCTGGGGAGCGATCTGGGGAGGATGATGGCTCCATTGGGTGTCACCTCAGCTGTGCTGTCAAGCTCTCACGTGAGAAATGCGCTCCTCTGGGTGTGGCTCTAATGCCACCTGTCCACCTCTTGACTAGCCAGGGCTAACTGCTTCTGTGCGCATGGTACACTGGAACCATCTTCTCCTGGAAGGGGATGAAGGAGGGAGTGTGGGCCTCAGGTCCTGAAGAGACTGCAGGGAAAGTTCTTGCTGTCCCTCTTCAGCCAGGGCCCAGCCCCTTGTGGGAGAAAATTGGGATAGGGTGCAGGGAGCAAGGGGGAGCCACTGGGGCCTGGGAAGAGTCAGGGCCCTGATGCTCACCTCCTTCCCCTAACCCTGACTCACTCTTCCCCAGGACTGGTGGAATTCAACGTCCTTCTCCAACTACTACCGCACTTGGAACGTGGTGGTCCATGACTGGCTGTACAGCTACGTCTATCAAGATGGGCTGTGGGTATGGGCTCTGCAGACCCCCTCAACTCCCACAGTTAATGTAGCCTCCCCAGAACATTCTCCTTCCCTTCCTCTGCATCTTTCGCCTTTTCCAGACCTAGGGGCCCCCTGGACTTTCATCTGCTCCTTTCTACCCAACCCAGTGGGCAGAAAATCCTTCTTAGGATCTAACTTCCTTCCCTCTTTACTCTTAACCCCACCCCTCTACAGAGCACTTCTCTCCTCCTTAGACTTCTAAGAAACATGCATGTAGCAATTCTCAGTTACCAAGGCTTTTCACATACATAATCTGCACTGTAATCCTGAGAAGTAAGTATTATTATGTCCCCTTTAAAAAATTGCATGTGAGGCCCAAAGAACTTAAGTAGGACGTATCACCCCTTGAGACCCCCAAATCTCATATTCTTTCCATTGTACTGTATACTTTCTGGCTTCCTTAAGGAGGGGACTCTTTGTGGAAGAGTCTTAGAGAGACTCATTCCACCCTTCTCCCCCGTCCCCTGCCAGCTTCTCGGTGGCCGGGCCCGAGGGGCAGCCATGTTGGGTGTGTTCCTGGTTTCTGCAGTGGTCCATGAGTACATCTTCTGCTTTGTCCTGGGATTCTTCTACCCGGTCATGCTCATGCTCTTCCTTGTCTTTGGAGGTGAGCTTGGCCTCTGTGTGCCACTGGAGGGGGAGCCATCCAGAGGGAGGAGGCCAGGAGTCCTGCTCCTGCAGATTCCAGATGGATGGGGGAGACCACATACCCTTCTGGGAAGAGGCATGAAAGTTGGGGTGGGGAGGAACTTGGGAACAGGGAGGGAAGCAGCAGGAGGTATCCTGGGGGATGTGAGAGATGATTTCTGGCTGGAGTGGAGCATCTGAGCAGGACACACATAGAGGGAGACAAAGGAGAGAAAACTGGCATGAGGCTGGGAGGTTTAGTATGAGATCCAGGATATTGATGTGTAAACTGAGGAATCCTGGTTTTACATGAGCCACTCGAGACCTCCATGGGTTGCCGGAGCTGGGCTCAAGATCTTCCTCAATGATGCCTTCCTGTTCCATCTCTTCCCAGTACCCTGGGATGGGGGGGATGGGGGGCATCCAGGGAGACAAGGCACTGGAATTGGGGTAACAACCTTTCCTCCTGCATCAGGGCTGCTGAACTTCATGATGCATGACCGGCACACAGGCCCAGCATGGAATGTGCTAATGTGGACCTTGCTCTTTCTGGGCCAAGGCATCCAAGTCAGCCTGTACTGCCAGGAATGGTATGCACGGCGACACTGCCCCCTACCCCAGGTAAGGGACCACCGCCCTCCCTCAGCTCCCCATCCAGAAGGACACACCTCCCCTCTCCAAGAGCCAGCCCCCTGTTCTTGCCCAATTCAATAGCCATGGTCAGGGGCTAGGCCTGGTTTGGGGGTGATGGGCTCCCTTGTCTTGGACGCGTAGGGTGGGGACAGGAGGGACTCACGCATAACTCACCTTTCTCTGGCACAGACAACCTTCTGGGGGCTGGTGACACCTCGATCTTGGTCCTGCCATACCTAGAAGCCAGAGCATTGTCACTGCCCAGAGGACGCCACCAAGTCCTTCTCTGCCTGCAAAGCCTCGGACCAGAGCACCTCTCCCTGCATTCCTAGATCTAGCTCCAAGTCAAGGGGGCCTGGCAGGCATGACCCCAGCAGGGAATGCCAGGGACTGAGATCTGAGGACCTGTAGAACCGCTAAGCACAAACTCACTGTGGTGGTGGCTCTTGAGCCGCCAAGCCCCACGGATTGGGCACAGAGCCCCCTCCTACCTCATCACTGTCCAGACTTGGGGATACTTGAAGGATCTTATAGATTTGGTGAATGTGGGGTAACTTAGAGAAATGAGGGCCATCAAGGTCTGAGAAAGGTTTGAACTGCTTCCAATACAATAATAAAGTTTGTATCCCTTTTTATTCATTCATTTGTTTATTCCTCCCTTCGTTATTTGTTGAAGGCCCACATTGGACAGGCACGATTGAAGAGCTGTGTCTACAGCAGCAAGACTTTGTGCTGGAAGGGGCTGAAAGGGGCTGGAAGGGGCTGGAAGGTGGCATCTTGCCTCGCCTTTCCGGTGCCTTGCCCCTCCCCAAAACCCAACCTCACCTTCCTCCCACCTCTTCCTTCCTCAGTTCATGTTTCCACACCCCTTAATCCTTCTACTCCTAGCAACCTCTAGCACATTTGGAAAGGGCACATAGCAGGCCTCCTTTCCCTCCACAGACCCAGGAGACGAACTGTCCGTATAGACCTTACACAAGTATTTTCATTTCGTGAGCCACAGTATCCACCGCTATAAAGTGGACCTTAAAACGAAGAGTGTCCTGACTGTATGGGTTCAGAAGGTCAAAATATTCACGTTCACAACCATCCCAGAAGCCAGACTTTGTAGTCACTCTAAGGAGAGGATCTTTTTTTCTAATTTTTAAATTAAATTTAATTTTTAAAATGATAGCCTGAGATTTTTTTTTTTAATGCTTATTTACTTATTTGAGAGAGAGAGAGAGAGAGAAGGAGAGAGAGAATCCCAAGCAGGCTCCATGCTGCTAGTGCAGAGCCCAACATAGGGCTTGAACTCATGAAACCTCGAGATCATGACCTGAGCCAAAACTAGAGTTGTATGCTTAACTGACTGAGCCACCCAGGTGCCCCTTGGTTTCATTTCTTATATCATCTTGAATGTTCTTTTTTTTTAAATTTTTTTAACATTTATTTATTTTTGAGAGACAGACCACGAGTGAGGGAGGGATAGAGAGAGAAGGGGGGGACACAGAATCCAAAGCAGGCTCCAGGATCTGAGCTGTCAACAGAGCCCGAACTCATGGACCATGAGATCATGACCTGAGCCAAAGCCGGACGTTCAACCGACTGAGCCACCCAGGCGCCCCTTGTCTTGTATGCTCTTTAATCATTCCATAGCAAGTTGCTGCTATCCGTTCCCCTTTCCCTGCTCCCTTGTTATTTTGGAAGTTCTACTAAACCTTTCCATTCCCTTGATAGTTGCCTTCTTTCCCAGCACTGATGATCCAATACCTACTTCATTACCATCATTTTTAATATGCCAATTGTTTCTTCCATTAAGATGTTTTATTTCCTGCCAGATGTTTTATTTTCTACCCCAGTAAGAGAGACCTTTAGAATGCTTTTACTGTGCCTTCTTATTGTGCTTCCAATTCCTAGGTTTGGCTGAGGTAGCACAGTACTTATGTTCCTAGATATAATTAGGTGTCTGTCAAGCTCCATGAACATTTAACAGTATGATATTTTGCCAACTTTCTTGCTCACTGCAGGGTTTTCTCCTCCCCTTCATCTTCCTCTACCTTGACTTCTCTATTCCCTAACCAAATTTTTTCTTAAGTATTTTCCTCAGGTGAGACAGGAGATTGATATACTCTTTGAATCATCTATAGCTCCAAATATCTTTCTTTTGCTCTGACAAGTGAAAGCTTTCCAGCTGGTGATGAGGTCCCTGGGCAACCGTCCTTTTCTCTCACTGTCCCGTTAGTTAGCTTCCAGTGCTGCCGATGAAGAGTCCCCAGTCAATTCTTTTCCCTTTGTACAGAACTTGCTCTTTCTGTCTAGAAACTTGAAAATGTTTTTCTTTAATCTTGGAATTCAGGAGTTTCATGCTTAGATGTCTGTCTTTTCTTTCTTTTTTCTTTTCTTTCTTTTCTTTTTTTTTTTTTTTTTTTTTTTTTTTTTTTTTTTTTTTTTTTTGGTCTTCCTGTGCCCTTTTGGTCTACAAGCGCAGATCTTTCTTTCAAGTCACTGAAATATTCTTCTATTTTTAAATTATTGCCTCTCTTCCATCTATGCCTTTTCACTCTTTTGGAGCTAATATATTTGAATGTTAGGACTACTGGATCTATTCTCCAAGTCTCATGTTTTCCTCGCTATTTCCATCTCTTCGTATTATTTGCTCCATGCTTTGAAATATTTTTTCCACTTGTTCTTCCAAGCCACTAATTTGAGTCTCAGAAGTGACCAGACTTCTCTCTTTCAATACATATACTGACTTTGTTTTGTTGAAAAAATGTTTCTTTAGTTCCAGAAAGGTTTTTGTTTTTTTGTTTTTGTTTTGTTGTTGGTTTTTTTTGTTTTTTTGGTACACTACTTGAATCTCTTTAAGTGCTCCTGATATTTTTTTTTAATTTTTTTTCAACGTTTATTTATTTTTGGGACAGAGAGAGACAGAGCATGAACGGGGGAGGGGCAGAGAGAGAGGGAGACACAGAATCGGAAACAGGCTCCAGGCTCTGAGCCATCAGCCCAGAGCCCGACGTGGGGCTCGAACTCATGGATCGCGAGATTGTGACCTGGCTGAAGTCGGACACTTAACCGACTGCGCCACCCAGGCTCCCCGCTCCTGGTATTTTCTTAAGTTGTCTTATAACTCTTCAGTGGTCCCTATGCTGTCTGGTAGGCAGGAAAACCACCTATGATGACCTCATCCCTGTAAAGTCAAGGCCCTCTGAGTCATGGTCTTTCAAGATCGCCCATGGTCCTGACCTCAGCACAGGGGCTCTCCAAAGCCAGTCTCCAGACTCCTGTGTGGTGAAAATGAAGAAGCTCTTCGCCAGGTCTCCCCACATTAGGCCTTCATTTCACTAACTTGAACTTCAAGCCCTCACTTGCACATCTTGCCCCTGGGCCCAGCAGCAAGATGGCTTAGGAGAGGCATGTGTTTGGAGATGGGAGTGGAAATTCCCTTAGAACTGGAGCATACATTAGAATCACCTCCAGAACTTGCTAGTAGAGACAGTTGAGCCCGGCCGCAGAAGTTTCTGATTCATTCATCTAGGTGGCTAAGAGTTAGCACTGCTAACCGATCCCCAAGGAGTGTTGGCGCTGCTGGTCTGGGAACCACACTTTGAGAAACACCGCATTAGCGTACACCAAACCAGGGGCATCTGGGTGGCTCAGTCGGTTGAGTGTCCAACCTCAGCTCAGGTCATGATCTTGCAGTTCATGAGTTCGAGCCCTGTGTCAGGCTCTGTGCTGACAGCTCAGAGCCGGGAGCCTGCTCTGGATTCTGTGTCTCCCTCTCTCTCTGCTCCTCCCCCATCCATGCTGTCTCTCTCTCAAAAGTAAATAAACATTAAAATTTTTTTTTAGAATACACAAAACCGAGCTGTCCTTCTTCTTCAAAATTACAGCTTTTGTTTACGGTAAGGAAATTAATCCAATGTCAGGGAGGTATCATCTACTCATTTTGCGTTGGGTTCTTCAACTTAGTCCTAGTACTAAGGCTTGTATACAACAGGGCTCCATCCAGGACCCCCTGTCCACCAAAGCCCTTGTTGGTGCTTTGCTGCCCTGACTCCTGGCACAAGAACAGGGCAGTGGCACCCAGAGCAGAACACTTTTAGGCTGAACTGAAGTTGAGTAGAAGTGAGTCAGACCAGAAAGTCTCTCCTTTGCACAGGCTCTGGAGCCCTCATGGTACCCTTGTTTTACCCTGGTGCACAGAGGGTGGGAGCAGCACTGCCCCAGCCCTCCCTCCAGGATGTCAGTGGGGGTGGGAGGTGCCTGGAGTGGGGGTATGCATGTGAGGCAGGGGAGAGCTCTGTGGCCACCTTCCCGCCCAGCAGGGCTCTCCTCCCGGGCTAGGAACCACCTTGTTCCTAGAAAGGGTCTCCTCTCTGCTCCCCTATCTGTGTCCCTCAAACTCTGTGCCCATCCTCTGCTTCAAACACCTTCCCTTCACCTCTGTGATTTTGTCCAGTCTTTTATCCAAATCTCCTTGCCTGTCTTGGGACCTCCATATAACACCCACCTTCTCCTGTGGTCCCCTCCCCAGTCTGTGTTGGCCCAGTGGCCTGCAGCCTCCATAACTGCCCTAGCTGGAGTTTCTCCCTCCCGTATCGCTCCTCCCTTGCTCTATTGCTTGGAGCCCTCCTCCTATAACACACACTTCGCAATTCTGAAACACAGACCTCAAATGGGCATTGCAGCAATGTCCAATGATCTTCCAATTAATCTGGAGGACTCCCTTCCCACTTGCCAAAACAATTTCATTTCTTCTCTCCCCACCATCCATTTCCAAGTCTACAATCCCCCCAAAACGTACAAACATATGCTCAGATTTTCCCCACTCCAAGTCCCTCCTATGAGCTGCAGGAATTCGCCCTCTTTCCATCACAGACCATTCTCTTGCCTCTCACCATCTCCAACACTAAGTCCCTTTTATGAGTTCCCAGGGTCAACCCCCTCCTTTCTCCTCTCTACCAAATGGTTCCCATAAGCATCCAGACATGCTCCTCCACTATGTCCCATCTCTAACTTTCTCTCTTAGCCCCACATCCTCATGAAGCTCCTACTTCTCAGCTTCCTTCTGGAAAAAGTTGTCTGGGCTCACTGTGGCTGTTTTCTCACCTCTATTCACTTTTGTGCTAATCCTGGGTCTACAAAGGTGTCTCTTCATAGTTTAGTATGGCTTCTTACTCCAGTACCCATCCCCTCCTGTCATCTCCTTTTGTGCCAGGCAGATTCGCTCTAATACATGACACATCTCTATGTAT